CCCTTATAAAGGCTACAGGTGTGTGCTAGTTTATAATTTTACTCTCCCCACACCCCCCCCCCCTCGGCGAGGCTCTGTTTCTGAATATGCCCAAGGTTTCCTTGTTGGAAGAAATTTTAATATTGTGTTATGTGTTGCATTTAATTCACTTGCAGGGATGAAGATTGGTGGGACAATGATGGAGCACTCAACATTATATCCATGACACACCCTCGTTTTCCAGTTGAACACCCAAGCTGCCATGTTATAAAGGATTCTGATTGCCAACCCTTGCAGCCAGGCATTTGGTTTGTGAACGGTCTCCATGCTCCATTAGCAAATTTATTACTGTTTGTGTGGGGAAGTATAATGTTGAATGTTCATTAATATCTTCAAATTATGATACTCAACTATGCATTTCACTCTTATCTTTTACACACACGTGCATGCGATAAACATTTATAGAGATCAGATTAAGGATTTTTTGGGATCCGTTCAAGGTAGTTATCTTTCTTCTTTAATCATCACAGATTATACCCTTTATTTAGGGTATGGAACTATAATTAGTACTCCCTCCCTCCCCCCTCCCCTCTCTCTCTCTCTGTATGCGTAGTGCAGTTTGTGAATTTATATCCAGCTGACATATAGAACTATTATTGAGTATCAGTTGTTACTTGCTGAATTTTTTGGACGTGTGTTCTCGAGTTTACATACTTGGTTTTAGTCACAACTCACAGCACACGCTCTTCTTGGGATTTTTTAGATGCTTCAAATTTGTCATTAATCTCTTTCATATAAAGCTCAATGTTTAGGAAAAAATATGCACCCTTATATAGGTGGATAACTTATAATAAATCTTATTAGGAGATATGAACATTTACTTTTAGCTGCTTTCTCTCTCTCTCTGCATTGAGTGTCTTGGTGTTTATTGGCTTGAAAATTTTGGTTATGACTGAAGATTTATTAATCTGATAACTCATTTATTTAAACTATCATCATTCTTGTCTGTCCTTGGTGCCAGATTTTGCTTCAGTGCTAGATTTCTAGAAAGACTCGATATTAAAGAATTCAAGTCCTTGTTATTATTCATACAAAGTGGATGAATTAATTTTTTTTGCCAACACATATTTCTCGTGTATACAACTTTGATTATTTGATTACCCTGTATGAACTTTTTATTACTTTTTTTACCTTTTAATGATAAAGAGTCCATATGTGGAAATATTTGCATGTTTAAAAAATTTGCATGATATTGCAATCCATGATCTGACGTTCATCACCAAAACTTTTATGCCAAATGAAGTGAAATATCAGCATACCTCAAGATTCTGTCAAAAAGAAGCATTAGGTCTATGGGTGTCCAGGTCACTATGGGGTCTGTTTTTGACGTCATTTACCCTGCAATGCCTGAATAGTTCCTTATGAAATCAAAGCCATGCATATACTTATTCTTTTAGGCCAATTGGAAGTGTTTTATAAGTTCACCTCTCTGAGCAGTGCATCTCATCTATGTAGTGTTGTATCATATCTCTAAAAAGGTTCCTGTATTTATGAGGAGCTTACGAGGTTTGAATCCAATCAGGTAGGTTATCCCCTGAGATGATTTAAGAATAAGTCCCTCTGAAGTGATTGCTTTGTAATATTGCCTAATGAACAATTGTGTTGGAGCATATATCTGAATCTTTAAAAACAAATGAATTGTGCATACACAAATGACTAAAATTTGAATTGGGCTAGACTGGGAATTTGAATTAGTCAGGCGTTTGGGTCTATGCCAGCTGATGGGTTCTGTACCAGACTAGTAAACTTGTATTGTGAACACAGTCAAGCAATAGCCTAGGTAGCTATAACCTGAAGTTAGAATCCAGGATGAAATCTTGGTTGGTTGATGATACTCCACATGACCACAGCATTTTGCATGTAGCACTGCATTCTTTAATTACGAAGGCATCCAACTGGTGGAGTTCTGTGATAGTCATGTAAATGTTCCCATGTGTGGTGCAGGTATTATAAGATCGTGGAAGGCGATCACATTCTTTTTATCATCAACCGGGAAAGGGCTGGAGTTGAATTTGATTTGATATATGACAGCATCTTCGAACGCTGCAGAAAGCATGCATTTAGGAAAACTCCCATCTTGCCGGACCATGTACAGTAACAGTTCATACGCGTTGCTTTGGCTGTCATAGATATGCCTAGGCTCATATAGATTTAGAATTAAGAGTATCAACTAGAATACTCTTTGGCAGTAGATTCCTTCCTTCTCTTTTTTTGTCATTTTTATGGAAAATGGTTGTAAATGCTAACAGATATAATTCCTGCCTTGTCAGAAAGTGGTAGTCCTGATTACCGTCCATCTTTACTTCCTAGTTTCTCTGTAAATGACTTTGTATCAGTCATGCAAATGACAGTAACAGTTCATGACGTGCTTAAATGCAGTTTTTAACCTTTCTTGACTCTGTGAATGTTGATGCATTGCAACACTGGAAAGTGAAAATCACGACGGTTAACTTCTTACGCACTCGAGAGCCGAAAGGTCCAAAATGTCCAGCTTTTGGAACAAACGAAAGTGAAGATCAGGAAATGCTTGTAATGTTAAGCAGGAAGAGAGAGCTGTGAATTGGAATCCAATCCGCCTGTTGAGAGAGGAAGGCCTTCAGGAAGGCGTTATGAATTTTTTTTATCGAGTCTTTCTTGTTTGACGATAAATCCACACATGCATTATCAGGGGCCGCACATGGTTATCATCTGTGGCACATGCTAGTCATACTCGCGAACCAGCTCTCGTGTTCTGGGAAAACGAAGGAGCAAGACGACAACAACAAAAGATGGCATTGAACACTACTAATCACTGACGCGAATCTGGTCCTCCTCTAAACCATAACCGCTTACTATAATAAACTCTTGCAGAACAAAACAAGGAAAAGATTGAGACTTGAAATTCAATTTGAAGTGACGTGTGATACAGAAACAGGAGTGATGAAGCTGCCGGCCAAGAAACAAGAAGATTCCTAGAGAAGTAGGTTGACCTTTCAATGGTTTTTGATCATTAGTCAAATCTAGAGTCGAAGGGGCAGCATTGACACACCATAACATGCAAAATCCAGAGGTCTTCCTCCGCCTGCTGCAAGTCCGCAACGCAGCATCGTTAGAAAAAAAAAAAAGCGACAGTGCCGACATCTAGCCATAACAGAAGATCGATGAAGGTGTCCTCCCCAAGACATGAACCATGTTTTCTTTTAGCATGAATCTTGCTTCCTAAATACTACCCTCTTCCTTCGTCGCTAAAGATTAAAATGGTCTCGATCTAATATTTGCAGTTCCTTCTGATGTGGATCAGCCGTTTTGGTCGGTAGATGTGGATCAGACTTGTAAAAGAATTCTTTATAATTAAGTTGACTGTGCAGAGCGGAACGAAGGACTTAAACGTACGCTCTTTTTCCCACTGTTTTTCTTCCAGAAACGGGAAATGTGATACAATTTAGTAGCATTTTTGCTGTTTTCATCTTCAAAAGCCTGGTAACTTTTCCAGTATCTCCGCATATGAGATGGAAGATGCAAGTTAAGTTCCCACATTTATGCCAAACAGCGTGCTGCATTCAAAGATGTGTAGATCTCTTATACATTTCAACTAAAACTTTCTTTGTCATATTACATTTTCATTTACTACTAGTTTGCGTGCTCTTTCCACAGGATATTTCAAAAATGATAGGATTTTTGAAATGACAAGAATTGATAGTTCAGGAAAAATGACATAATAGTGGATATCAAAAGTTAGGGACATGTTAATGGCACTCTCTTATTTTATGAAATTATAATCAAAATGAAGAGTGAAGATCTTTTTATCCTGTTACATAATAATAGTAATAAAAAAAAGCTTGACAGGAGTGTTTTTAATATTTTCCTAAATTATTGCTTAACAAATATTTTTTTTTAATTCCTAAAGAAATGGTTAAAATCAATGGGATGTTCTCGTTTCAGTTTTTTCACATGATTTCAAATTCTAATCTTGAAAAATCATTTGTTTTTGTAGTTAGATCTTAAAATTTTCAATAGACAAAAAAAAAGCTAACTAAAATTTAGAGAATTTACCCAAGGGTTAACTTTTTTATTTTTTTCCCCTCCAACAATAGTTTTTTCTTGATCGTTATTAATTAGCTTTTTTGCAGATTAATCTGCCACAGCTAAATACAACCCAACCGTTGAAATCTCAAGAATTTAACATAAAATAACTCTAAAATAGATTATCAGTTTGGCTAACGGGAGCACCCATTAAGAGGTTTCTCATGCATGAATATGAATATGAATATGTTTCTACAAAATAATTTAGATGTAATGTAGATATTTTATTGAGTGCCCATTGAGCGTGCATTAGAAAATTCTATAGATTATTATTACGAGAATAGAAAGCCATCCTTCAATAAGTTTCTTATCAAAATTGAAACAACTCACTAAACATACCTAAAGTTTTCCAAATTTTTTAACACTCATCCATTCACTGTAACAAGATTTTCTTTCCTTTATTTACATAGTCAAATGTTCGTCTGTATCCGATTTATTTGATACTTTCTTCCATTTTTAGAGAAGGTGCACTCATTCGGATTTCAAGAGATGGTACGCGGGATAAGTACCACTTAAAAAGATCTCCTTTTATCTCTAACTCTGGTCACCTGAGTCATTCACTTTCCTGACCCAAATCAATCGTGTAAATTTATAGATTTCGCCAATGTGTTAAAGAAACAAAGGAAAGAAATGGAAGGATAAGGAGAAATTCATTGAATTTGTCTTCATTCAGATTATCGTATTATTAGAGCATGAAATTTAAACTCACCGAAGGTATATTTTATGTAGGAATCTTTCTTGTCTCCTGCTCTATATATTCCAAAGAAACATTGGACATGGGGTCGGAAAAAAAAAAAAAAAAACTTCCCAGTGTTCTTTATCCACGAACTCTTCAGCATAAAACCACCCTGAAAGGTAGCTAGTTTCAGTTTCAGAAGGAGAGAAGAGAGAAGAGAAAAATGTGCGGCAAAACCCAGGATCAAGCCAACGCCACTGAACAGGACTCAGCTGCTGTTGCCTCTGAAATTGGAGGAAGCGGGACAAAACCAAATCCTTCCTCACTAGCACCTGTAAATCTTGATCAGTAAGTAATTATTTTATCCTTTTTCCTTTAACCAAAAATGTCTTTTGGCAGCCTAATAGCTTAAGATTTCTTCATGTTTTTTGCAATTCCAAGCCGGGTTTAATATCCACCTTTTGCTGTCTAAAGTCTTTAACTGGCCATTTATTGAAACCCATGAAAAATCCTTTCTTATTGTTTTCGTTTTTGAGGCACGTTACAATTTTGCATAATTTTTTAGCCTTCATCTTCATGCATGAAACTTTCCCATACGTAACGCATATAATTATTATGCCAACCCGCTGATTTACTTTAAATTCATGATTACCCTTTTTTAATCAAACAACAGACTACTTGCATGCATATCTTTCATTTTTAGTTTTTGTTCTCCAAATTGATAAGGATGGTTTTTTTTTTTGTTTTTTTTTTATTTTTATCTTTGGTGCGTTACACAGCGGTGATCCTACTGCATATGAGACCTACTGGAGTAAGGTAGGTGAAAGGAGCACAATTACATTTACGGGAGATCAGTCCTTGAGTTATTTTGCCAATGCCAAGAACTTGTGCTGGTTTTTGGAGCCAAAACTGGAGGAGGAAATCAGGAGGTTGCATCATGTGGTGGGCAATGCAAAGGTGGATGATCATTTCATCATAGTGGGCAACGGATCAAGTCAGCTTATTCAGGCTGCCCTCTATGCTGTATCCCCTTCTGATCAACCTCAGCCCACAAGTGTGGTTTCAGCCGCTCCTTACTACTCGGTTAGCTTTGTCGGCTTCCAAATCAGTCATCAATCCCTCTTATAAATTAGTAATTGATTTGACTTTTTAGAAATGTTAGTTTATTTGTAGTACAAGTTTATTTAATCGGCCAAAAGTCAGTTGAACATAAGTTGTACTATTGTTTGTGTAAGACATAAACCTTGTGCTAAGCTGAGCATACAAAGCATGGTTCGAAGTCTCGGCCGAGACCGAGACGACTCGGCCGAGTCGTCACCGTCTCGGTCCCTACCGATACGATACCGTGACGAAACGATACCGAAATACTTGACTCGCCGAGAAATCGGCCGAGTCGTCACCGCGACGGATTGAATCGGCCGAGTCACACCGCAACGGATTGACTTGGCCGTTTCTTTTGCTATTTTTTAATTATTTTTATTTAGCATACTTTTTTATATTATTAACAATTTTTAGAATATTAAATACTTTAAAATTTGCGTCTCACCGAGACCGCAACCGATATGCCGAGACCGATGTGGAACGTTCCGGGCCGCGACCGTGACTTTGAACCATGATACAAAGTGATCTAGACAATGTAAATTCGCTAATCATGGGCATGTGAAGGTTGCTAGAAGGATTAATTTTGTTTAAGTTTCAATCATGTGTAATGCTACTATTTAATGTACTAATGCAGCCGCCTAATCACTTTCTGTCTCAATTGATTTAATTATGTCTCCCAAGTCCTATGCATTTATAATTAATTATGTTGCTTGTTTATTTGCAGGCATACCAAGAAGTGGCAGATTTGTTGCGGTCAGGGCTCTACAAATGGGGAGGTGATGCTTACAGTTTTAACAAAGATGAACCGTACATAGAGATGGTAACCTCCCCAAATAACCCTTGTGGGATGACGAGAGAACCGGTCGTGAACCGGCCTCAAGGAAAGATCATCCACGATCTTGCTTATTACTGGCCTCACTACACTCCCATTACCTCTCAAGTTGACTATGATATCATGCTGTTTACTGTTTCCAAATGCACCGGGCATGCTGGTTCAAGAATTGGGTAAGGCTTCTGTTATCTAATATCCTAATTAATTCCTAGTAAAGACAACTAAATATAATATTCTCGTGCTTGAGTTATAATATTTTTCTATTGCTATGATTTGCATGAGAAGATGGGCTCTTGTGAGGGACAAGGACGTGGCAAGAAAGATGGTGGATTTAATGGTGATTAGCACAATTGGGGTTTCTAAAGAATCCCAACTTAGAGCTGCTAAGATTCTGGGAGTCATTTCAGATAGCTGCTTACTGGATAAATCTCCTGGCCTGGAAAACTTCTTTGAATACGCTCAGCATCTCATGGCTGCAAGATGGGAGAAGTTGAGGGAGATTGCGAAAGTGAATGAACTATTTAGTCTAACCGAGTACCCCTCCGAATACTGCCTCTTTACCAAAGAGTTCACTGAAGCTCGTCCTGGTAATTAAAGCTTTGATTTTGGACTTAAAACACTTTATCTTTCTGTTCTTCCAAGCATTTTGGTTTACAAATAGCTTCATGTTTTTTTAACACTCTTACCCAAATTTTGGGGCAGCTTTTGCATGGATGAGTTGCAAGTCTGATATGGAGGACTTAGAGAAAATTCTAAGAGGACACAAAATTCTGGCAAGAGGTGGAAAGCGCTTTGGAAGTGATCCAAAGTATGTGAGGATCAGTATGCTAAGTAGGGATCAGGAGTTCAATCTCTTTCTGGAGAGGCTATCTTCTATCCATGGAATTACCAGTGGGAATTGAATGTCACATGCAGGAATTGGGAGATACAGAAATTACATACATTGCACACAAGAAAAAAAAAAGGATATTACCTACACTGGGTGTAAGAAACAAAGATTAGGATCCATCTAGAAAATATGAAATAGATTGGATGGATCATACATCTCCTGTAGTATATTGTATGTAGCTACCTAGCCACCATGCATGTCCTGTGATATGCTAATGCATGGTTGTGGGTGAAATTGTATACGACATACTAATGAATGTCTTAAAAAGATTTGAGAGCTAATGTTATACTTCCTATTCTAGTTTGTTTGAACCAACTTCTTTTTTTCTTTTAACAAAAGTGGAAGGCAGCTAGATAGGTTACGCCTCCAAGGCCGTATCAAGAAAAAAACTCCTACAGTAGCTGAAACTTAGGTAGGTGGCTGAAACTTGGAGTACTAAAATTGACAAAGCTTGGAGTACTAAATTAGTGGCAAAGCTTATGGTAAAATTGACTCTCAAGCTTGTGAAAGTACTTAGAATTCTTCAACAATAAACCGACTTCGGTGAAATTGATATGATGTAGACAAGATGTCTGTGACAGTGCGATTACTTATTGCTGGTAAATAACCATGAAGAGCTATTTTGAGGCGTCGATGTAATGAAATCATTGGCATTTCTAGCAGAAGTTTCTTAACTATATGTTCTAAAATTTTTCTAAGTTAGAATAAGGAAAAATGATGAGCTTAAGAAACTAATTCGGCATAGAACAAAGATTTTCATATTAATGTACCAAAATGTTCTGATAAACAAATTTTCAATTCGTTTGTCAAAAAAAAATTTCAATTCGAACTGATTTACCGCAAAATTCTTCTTGGTTTAGTAGAAAGAATCACCACTAATGGTAGAAGAGAGACTGTTAGTGCCAAAAATAAGAAGAAAAAAAAAAGTAGTACAGAACAGAAGGCCAGTCCAAATATCTTTTCAGCACTGCTCTCATGCCGCGAGAGTTGAGACCTGAAAGAATGAGACCTGAAAGAATGGGGGCTAACTTTTCCTGAAATAGAAAACAGCTTTGCAGGTCACTTTTGTTCGAACATACAATAACTGGTGAACAGAAAGGCAAGGATTATACGTGCATCACTTCATAAGGTACGAGTATTAGTTTTTTTTCCCCCCCGGATAATTCAATGGGAAGCTACAGCCTAAGATACATGACTTGTTTTAAAGCATTCAGGGAGTTCTAACAAGATATTCATATTCAACCAACTTTTACATGTTTGAAGAACATCCTTAACCCAGATGCATTTTTCAGTTGTCAGGAAAGTGAACCCTAACTTATCAGCTTTCAGTAAATATTTTTGTCAAGCACCGTAGACATTTACACCGCTAGGCAGCAAGAACATGTACATTTGTTTATACCCTACCCCATCAGCTAGAGAATCCAGCATTGATCGTGCAGGTCTATCTATTCGCCCATATTGTCTGTGTGGATTGCGGACATCCTCCTCCTAAACCACAATCCAGGGAACAAGATTTGCCAACAATCACTAATTTGGAACAATATCATGGTTTTTTTTTTGTTGAGAAAACACCATCAACAGGAAAAAAGCTTAGAAAGATCAACATGATACCTGTATTATACTCTGAATTTAAGGAATAATTAAACCACAACAATAGACCTCCATATTTATAAGAACTAAATGACAGCAGTTAGATCAATCAATGGAGGCCGGGACTAAAAAAGAAGCAAGTATAATCGAAGAAAAGCCCAAGACAGATGCGCTATGGTCCCGGAAGATACACTTCAATCATCGAACAGGGACAAAAACCTCCGGTTTGGCACCTCAGTCATTGTGCCATCATGTGAAGCAGCTTCATATCAGTCTTAGTTCATATTCACCAGCCATTGTAATGTATCTTACCCATGGAAGAGCCTGGTAGCCACTTTTTTCAATAATCTTCAAATAACGAACCTACAGAAACAATGGTTTTATATTATGATGGCTCGATCAATTAAACCCAAGAAAGTTAATGCTTGTCAAAACAACAAAGTCCGCATGCAAGACAGCTACAGAGTATGATCAAACTGCATGCCAAACAGCTATAGGGTAAGATCAAAACACCGAGACTTGGAAAGCCCCATCCAAGTTGCATGGGATGTATAATTTTAAATGCATCTCTTATCTGCTGTAAGCCAGTCTCCAACAAAACTAATTAATGCATAGGAGTATTTCGTACGTCCATGCAAATTTCAGCAAAATTTACATAAGAAATCAACTGAATTTACTTCACTCGCATGTGAATACACTTGCAAGCACACTTGGGGAGTCTCAAACGAGGCTCACCTGTATTCCTGAGACGGTAAAATAGGGAATCTCAAATTTGACACGAATTGGAGCTTTTCTCTCAGGCAATGGCTCTTCAGCTGTTATGCTAGGGAGAGTAAACTCAGCTCTCAACATGTATTCCTGAGACGTGAAGAAAAACAAAATAGGCAAAGAGGAATTAGACGGTATGAGATCGTGATGGTTGAAAAAGCTTCTAGCTGGCACATTATCTGCACTCAGTAGTAGCATGTCACGCAAGCCCAATGCTTACTTATAGAGACATGATATCCAAATTAATTTGGATTAACTCTTACCTTACCACCTGGAAAAGATTTTATTTTCCAGACCAATGCATCATTTTCAGGTGCATAAGTTGACGATCCCATTGATGTCCGAATATTTGGATTAGTAGCATCAGATGGCACAGGCAACTCAATCTCAACATTGGTAGCAGTGCTGGAAATTCACATAATCTCATGAGTGAACTCACTGGTATTTTACAGACAATAATGAACATATCCTTTCTTCAGAAGAGAGAAAGAGAGAGACTCCATGCCAAACACTGTACTTTTTTTTTAATGGATAATTCTCTCCTAGACAAAAAATTAAATCAGATGTACACGAGAAAAAAGGAAAATCATAATATACCTACGCTCCTTAAATTGGCTTCGAGCTTTTACTGTCATTTCCATACGGCTTCTAGAATGTCGCTCAACTTGAGCTTCTACCCATATGAGAGGCTTGACCTGAAAGCAAGAATTATTGCTCTAGGCTCTGACTCGTATGCAAAATGGCAAGCGATAATGCCCCGGCCCATATTTTATTTCCACAGCCATTTTTCGTAGAATGCCAACAATACCCTTCTCTAATCAAAGTGATTATATCATTAAATTTTCATGGCTCCACCACACTCCTTACCATTGCCATCTCTGACTTGTTACTGTTTAAAATCTTATGCACAAGTTTTTCCGTTCTCTTTGGCTCTGGAATATTTACTGATATTTATTCAACATATATAACAACAAACAAGAAGCTTATTTGTTTTGACGAACGTGAAGATTTTTGACAGTAAGTCTCCCCTCTTCTAATTTTGTTTACCTTTTGTCGTAGACTTCAAATTTTCTCTTCAAATCGACTTCAATTTTTAAACCAATACAATAGTATACATGGATAAACACACTCTCACACACACCTAATAAAACTTCTGAATGGAGTGTTCTTATCAGTGAGGAGGTTTTATTTCACTGAGTAAATCACAAACGGATTTGGGGATTAATTGTACCTGCTGCAAAAACATGCGAACAAATCTAATTTTTGTGCACGTGTTTCCTTTGGGGGAAGCTAATTTCTACAGTATTAACAGTAGAATTTAAACCATTTTGTAACTCTTTTTTTAGTTCTTGATTTTTTTTAATTTCATTTGGGGAATTAATTTTTACAGTAATTTACATGAATTTTTCTTTTTTTTTTTTGGGGTGGGGGTGGCGGTGAGTGAAGCTAATTTATGCTGTATTAAAATGTTATATTTAAATCCTTTCGTAATCTCTTGTTTCTGTTTCTTTTTAGTTTCTGTTTCCCTTCTTACTTGGCTTCTTGGGAATTTGGAACTAAGAGGAGATCGGTGGAGGTGACAAGGAATTCAGTAGGGTCCATTAGACTTGGTGACATAATAACATTTGACTAGCGAGAGTATTTTGGTAATTCTGTAAAAATGGCAGTGGAAGTAAGAATTAGACTGTGGCATTATCACTTCCCATGCAAAATGCACAGAACAGTAGAAGCATAACTAAATACATATACACTTAATATCAACAGTAAACCAAACCTGAGTGCTGAGTCTGTATGTCATGAGATCAAACGACCCATCAGGCGGTATAAAGGATATGGTCCGGTCATTTTCAAATCGGGCCAAACGCACACACCTATATAAAAAGGTTGCATAAACAGATTAAAAGACATAGTTTGGTAGATCCATAAATACATAAACCAAAACTATTCTACTCACGAAACTTATTACACATAGGTCAGAAAATCAGAAAAATGGATTGCATACTGATGGAACTTTATGTCGTCTAGATCAATAGCTTTTCCCTTGGTAGCTCTTCCTTGCGCCTCCAGCAATACTCTATCATTCAGTCCAAGCTTGCACTCTGGCATACCACTACCAGACAGAAACATTAACACTTCATAACTATGATATTATGATCAGCTGAAAGTAGCAATCTGAAGACCAAGAACTTAACAGGGAGGCAATTTTTCTATCCAAATAGATGTATATTAATCACTTAAAAACGACTCAATTTGTAGCCTTGTACACAGAAAATACAGGAAACCTGATGTGAGGAAACTAAAGAAAGAATTACAAGGCCACAAGTATGGAAAAGAGCAAAGGAACTTGGCTGAGAAGTTGAAGCCATCATCATTACTAGTTATGAGAAGAGCATATGCATGTAGACCTAAAACAGGCCCAGCCTACTCAGTCAACTAAGTCTATGCAACAGATCAATTCCCATAAGCATATCGAAACCACGGATAGAGGGAAAAAAGAACCTTCACTGCCCGTCAACCAAGATTGAAAGAAAGGATTACAATCTCATTGATAAATGTGTGGAAAAGACAAATGGCCATTGCTGAGATTTATCAGTAGAAGATGGTCATAATTAATATTGAAAAAGAGGAAAAAGAAAAACTTTTACTCAAGACTAAGTATTCTGCACCCTAATTTAACCACAAGCCAAAATGTACCAAGCAACTTAAGGAAAAGTCCTATTCACAAGCACCTAAACAATTGGTAAATGTTCTAGAATACAAGTTTGTGTAAATTTGGTTAAAGAGAGAAGTTCAGAGCACAAAATATGAATCACAAACAAGTCACAGTTTCAAGAAGGAGTGAGAAGAGGTACTAATGAGATTTTCTTAAAAGCTCAAGCTAAATCACCTGCCTGGAACCAGGGGCAAAGAAAAACAGGTTCAAGCATTTGCCTCAATAAGCAAACTGAAATCCCCACAAAAACACCTTTTGAAACCAACATATTTTAAAATCAATTTGCAATCACAACAAAATCTCATTAATTTTATTCTGAAATGTTAACACTGCATAATTGCAGTAGAGAACATACCTCAAATAAGTGCGCATCTTTAATGCCCCAACAACATCTGACCTAACTATTTGTCCGTTGCTGTTAACTAGTATATTAACACTTTCCACAACATCTAAAAATACCTGAACCAACAAAATACATCACTAGGATCTCCAAAGAAGAAAATGTGAGAAGAAATGAATCAACCAAATGAAAATACTGACCTCATTCTTCTTATATCTTATCCCTTCGCTGCGCCAAGAAACTGCGTTTGTTACTGCCATGGGAGGTCTCTGAGTAACTTCCATTCTGTAGGCATCGGTCTTTATAAACTCACTGAGAATCTTTGCTTCAGTATATTGAGGATAACCAAAGTCCATTATTTCATCAAGTAACTCATACTGTAAATGGCAAAAAATATCAATGCATAACAAACAAAAAATATGCTATGGTGATATTCACATTAAAGCCGCCAAATCCAAAAGTCAAGTGAAAAGAACCTCTTACCACCACAACAAAATTATCTCTAAGTGATTCCTCTTCTAACTCCTCAAAATAATGCTTAAATACCTGTGTTCAAAGTACTTTATTAGCATAAACCTATAAAACCACTAATGCTATCTCAAACTCATATGATGAAAGCATAGATCTTTAATTACCACTGGCTCTTACATCAACTACACGATGTAGAAACAGAAGAAGGCTGGCAGCATTACAATTCTGCCGTGAAGCGGTCATCAGATACACATTGTTGTGCTGTATATACATATAGGTCACACCATCATCATAAACAACAGGATCTTGAGACTGTGGGTCACCCTATAGCAGATTAAAGCACCAAACTTATCGTCAGTACCTAATATAGGGCCAGCATAGTCTACTCATAAACAAAATGAAACAAAAATATGTGACAAAAGCAGATCAATCAACCTCAGCCCAAACAAGCTTGAAGTTTTACTAACTATTGGATTTGACTTGAACTTGGCACAATAAGCATAATACTCAAACTGCACGTATAGATAAATCAAGGACAAACTCAAATAAGATTGATTTGTCAACTGATCAAACAAGATTTAGTGCTTGTTAACCTTTTGAACCATGCTTGAGTTCATATCAACAAGGATAAAGCCTGAAACTGACATTTAAATGAGTCAAGCCACTTGAGCTGGCTCATAAAGAGCTTGTCTGAGCTCAACTCAGCTAATGATCAAGCAAAGCCAAAACCAACATTTTAGTGTTCAGCTCAATTAGTCATGTCAATACCGTAGCATACAAAATAGCAAACTTTAACTCAGCAACATAGAATCCAACAAAGTACTTATACTCTAGCTGAATTTAAACAACCGAACAGGTGGATTTTCTCCAACCTCTCATTCTATCAATCCTAATCTAAAATCCTCACTGCTTAGGCAACCAAAAAAAAAAAATCAACCCTTTTGACCAATAAACCACAAAAACAAAAATCCTCTCCTTCGTTGAATTATTCATGAATAACAATAACAACAGGAAGAGGCCCGCATGATCATCACAAATGAAGGCTCAATAAAGTAGCTAACTGATCCTGCCGCTTTAGTTTAAGATTAATAGTCAACTAACTAAATGAATGATCAATCCGAATCAAATTCTTATCCCAATTTGATTAGCAAAATATGTTCACCGAAAGTGAAAAGAAGAAGAAGGAAAATTAGAGAAAAGGAAAAAAAAACAGTATAGTACCTCTTTTTCGATGAGCTTGGTGAAGCAGCGTTCAGCTTGGGCGGCGGAGACGTCGCCACGGTAGTCCCGCCACACAAGGACCCGGCCTTTAATGTCTAGTAGGAACAGCGCCGACGCTGCCCCCGCCATTTTCTTTAATTTCGTTAAATTCTTCTCTTCTTTGGCGTATATATATTACGTATGTATCTATTCTACTCTGGAAATGTATATGGCCATATAAATCGATTGGAGATCAGATCGGGGCGGGGGATGGGCAGAGAGAGAGAGAGAGAGGTTTGATTGAGATCTGGGAGAAAATGGTAGTGGTGGGGCGACTTTTGTAATTCTAGAGTAGTCGAGGGGTGATTTCGACTAAATATTTTCTACTGCTAGTAATTTGCACGGTTGCGGCCCCTTGCAAGTTGCAACGGCCAAAAGCTAAACGAAACGACAACGTCAGGTTTAATGCCAAGTTTAGCGTCAGGTGATTAGACTGTTCATCCCACAGTAGCACATCGCTCTAATTTCTAACGGCGACAAGTGCTGGCTGGGAGCTACACACCTGATTTCCACCATTTTCATTGCTTCTTAGTACTTTGTCTTTTTTCTTTTTCTGTGACGAAAAGTCTTTTTTTGTGACGAAAAGTTTAGATTATTCGGACTTCAATCATCACCATGTCCAGAGCATACTTCTGATATCATAAATCACACTATTCTTACATGTTACCCTCCTCACATTTGTAACACAATTTAAATGCACATCTTTTGTAAGTGACATGTCTTTACCAATATGTGTAGTCGTTTCACATTACTCTGCTGATGTGCGATCTAATTATTTTTCCTTTAATATTTGAAGAGTCTGCCAAGGAGTACGACCAGAGCAGAATACCGAAAAGGACGTAGCAGAGTTGGCCTGCAATGAACCAACGAGCAGAACACCGAACAGAACAGACGTAGCCAAGTTGGCCTGTAATGAGCCAAACAACGGGACTGTCTTCCCGTTGGTTGTGAGTTGTGAGCCCGTTCCCTCCTTGTTACTGTGAGTTGTGATTCTGTTCCCTTTTCGTTGCTGCTCCGACGCTTAAATCAGTCAAAGAATATAGAGTATAATAGGAGTATATTCTTGTACCGTACCTTTTCTTGGCTCAGCCTGATAGTATTTATAAGATTTCTTCTGATAAGCTATGGAGGTGTCCAAAGTTATACCTTTACTTCCAATAGTTATTCCACTCAAGAGTGACCACCATCCTTTGGGTTGGTAGCCACCACCAATGCATTAAGGCTTAGTGGGGTGGGAGATAAGGGTTCAAACCTTACCTCCCACCAATTTGTCACAATTAAATGTGGCTTTGCTTAAAAAATCCAAGCAAGCGCACCCATCTGATTCGGTGGTGGTTCAGTCTCATCCCCATAGTATAGAAAGCTATCGCATCCACACAAAAAAAAAAAAAAAAAAAAAATTCCACTCAAGAGTATTACTCCCTCTGGAATATTCAACCTTATCCTTTTGAATTTATTTATTTTTGGCTATACATAATAAAGTTTTCAGTCAGGAAAGAGTTCTTTACAAGATTCAGGAAATTGCAAGATCTGAAAAAGATCGAATTTAGGTTCTGTTTCTTTCGTTTCATCTTTCAGTTACTTGGAGAACAAACAAAGGAAGCGCTAATGACAGCAGTCCCAGGCAATGTACCTTCACAGCATTTGTTCCATAATATTTGTAGCATTTTGGCTTTCCTTGCTCTGTAAATAAACCCTTGTTTATAAACCTTAGCACTAGCAAGCCTTGTTCATCAGAATGGACTGGAGACACTTTTAATCCATGATATAGAGTTAATAATACTTGGAGAGGAGATGAGATGATTCGGAGATTGTGAAGCGCATTAATATTGGTCAGGCTACAGGACATTTATGGACAGGACTGACTTCAACGAGGAAACAAAAGACCTCAAATATCTCTTTGTATGTGCACAGGTACTACATTTCCTAGACAAAGAGTTGTTACCTCAAAACAATACGTTAATCCAATGGAAATGAAACATTTCACACTCGGGGAAAATAAAAACCATATATATATATATATATATGTAGAGCAGAATTGTGTATGATCACAACCTGATCTGAAAAGTTTATCTGTTCGGACCGATAGAAAGTGCCTTTTTGTTTTACGTTCCTTCTTTTTTTATTTGTTTTCAAATTGAGCTCTTCATCGCCCGTTGAACACTCCACTGAAAACCTGACTGTTTCCCCCAAGTGATGCTTCCCATTCGACTGATGAAACTCTAATCTGTGAGAGTGCCACTACCACCTCTCGCATCTCCGGCCTGTTAATAGCATCTCCACTTAGACACCATTGCGAAATTTCTGCCATCTGCAATTAATGTATTAATACTTCAACATTGATAAGCTTTCAACCTGGATCGATAGGAAGATTTAGGTGTTGGTTATTTGTACGTTTTTTTTTTTTGCCTTCAAGTGTAAGTGTGAAGTCTGTAGCTGCATTCCATTAGGAACACCGCAACTTACAGATTGCTACAAGAAGTTTACAATTTTATTAGACCTACCTTGTATACATCTTCCATAGGGTAGCTGCCTCTTAGATTACCATCAACTATGGATTCCAGGGCACTCTCTGGATCTTCATCTTCAAAAGCGCTGTTAAGCTGAGAAAGCAGCAACGCAACACAAAATCTTAATTAAAGAATCCGTGCGGTACTAATATGATAAAGTAGATGCATGTCGATTATGGCCACGTATTCCATAGAGGAGGAAGAGGGAAAGCAATGCCTCCTCATGTGCATTATGGCACATTTCTCCTCTCAATGCCTCTCTGCCTAAGTTGTCAACGTTTCTGGTTTTAGTTTTCCATCTTGGACCTCAAAATCATACCATATTTTGCATTTTTCTGCGGAATAGTTGACTTACAATGGTTATGAGAGACTTCATCTTCTGAGGCTCCATATTATCACGGAAAAGTGCACGTTTACCAGTTATTAGCTCTGCCAGAACAACTCCAAATGCAAAAACATCTGTTTTCGTCGTCACCTGTAGCTCTTTCACCGACCTGTGAAACAAGGAGTGTACGAGTCAAATCACCCAAAAACATCTATCTTGTACATGTTGGTGTGGTGTGATTTGGGTAGACACGAGACAGAAGCATTTAGTGCGAACCATTGTAGACAGAAGCATTTAGTGAGACTTGAGGGAGTATTTACACTATAGAGACAATTTGACTCATGTTTATCATCAGTGCTTACTCTGGGGGAAGGTATCCTGGAGTTCCAACCAGGCGGGTTGCCATCAACTCATCTTCATTAGTTCTGCCAACAAGCTTCACCAATCCAAAATCAGCAACCTACAAGAGCAAATCTTAGGATAGAACATCAGCTTAGAACCTTAAGATATTCCTGCACTATATTTGGATGGCACTAATTATACGGGTGCAGATGTGAGAAACAAAATCCACGCTACACAGGTTTTCTGCACGGGTGTGAATTGTTATTATATACCTTTGCTCTGAGCGTTTCATCAAGTAGAATGTTGCTGGTCTTTATATCGCGGTACACATATCTGGCTTTGGTATGATCATGGATATATTCAATACCCCTTGCAGCATCAAGTGCAATCTGTGTTCTTGCAGTCCAAGAGAGAGGCTGATGACCTGAAAAACATTGCTTTAGATAAAGAAGATTTTGATTTGAAGACCATCAGAATGCAAAATGTATGCTTCTTGATTTTTTAAGATTTCTAGATTGTCCTTCCCGATAATCCTGCTGGAATTGGGGAGAAAGTTATAGCTATGAGCATTGTTGATATATATGTTAAAAATTTACTATCCCTGCAGGATGAAAATTTACTTTAGTAATAATGCCCACCTGTTATTATAGTTTTATGCACACTCTAATTTTAGGAGAATTCCAGTTTCAGATGATTGTCTTATTCAGATGTCTTTAAATAATTATTTTTAATTCCTTGGAGCTGATGGGAACTTTGCTTTTATCCTATATAAATCTCTGATAATGGTACTCTCTGTACATGTATTAAGCATTTCTTTCACTTTGCAGAAAAATCTGGCATCAGACGGAGCATCTATTTATAGTCAATGACTCCGATTTTATGATCTGCATTCCTAGTATATGTCAACAGGTATCATCATTTGAAATCCAGAAGATTTTAGAGCTTAATAAGATTCGGAATGCAATAACGAATAATAAGCTCCTTTTGCCGGATTACCTTTCAATAATGGATCATGAAGATGTTCACTGAGAGAACCGTTTGGGATGTATTCATAAACTAAGTAGAGGTGGTCATCTCCGCTGGCATACCCCAACAGCTCCACCTTTATTTAGGACTTGGAACCGTAAATACTGGAACCTCCTTCATATACCAATAATAAAACTAACTTGGAGATGATTCTTACCGCATTTATATGGTGTATCTTGCATAGAACTTTGAGCTCTGCCAGGAATTCTTTGGACTTACTTGATCTCATCTTCTTTACTGCAACTTCCTGAATTGTCAGTGGAGTAAACTGGTCTTACTTTTCAAACATCCGAAAGTAGTCGAACTAATTGCACAAAGGAGGTAAACAGAATGCTGAGGCTACAGCAAACTTACCTGCTTTCCCATTATCCCAAGATATACACTCCCGTATCCACCCTCCCCAATTTTTCTGGATTCATCAAAGTTTCCAGTAGCCTCTGCAATCTCCTCTAGAGTGTATACAACTGGCTTCTCGGATTCAATAGCTGTGATATCTGTATATTTACGAACCTTTAATTGAGTTAGTCCCCTCATAGTACAATTTGAAACAACAAACAGATATAGAAGTCTTAGTGCTGTCAAGTTTAGTTTCTCTCATCACCTTCCGAGTTTCCTTTGCTCTGGAAATGCTTATGTAACGAATAAGATTTATTGCTAGTTATAGATTTAGAGAACATTTTAGGATCCTCCCCACTGTTTCTCTGGGGTCTCTTCCTCCTCAGAAGGATTACAAGCAACGTGCATACTGAGAGCATTGTCACAACGGCCAGTATGCTAACCGCTATTTTCCACTCGCGCTTCTTTTGGGAATCTGCATAACATTCCCAGGAAAGAACATATCAAGGAGTCGTCATCATAACTACAATAACATGACAAGTGTGATTTGAAAATTGAGAATAACCTCTAGTTATATTCTCTTATCCATGTAATTGTTTGTTTTCTAAAGGTTGTGTTTTTCCTCAGTATTCAGTGCTGGCCGGCTTGTAAGAAAGGAGAATTTTTCTTTTGATATGCTGAAGTTAGGACAATGCTATTCTACCAAAAAATGTGCAATTATCCAGATTACGTGC